AGGGGGGGGGGGTAGCGATGCGGTGACTTATGGCTCGTGTGCCAGCAGAAAGGGCTCTGAGTGCCAGCTGTGGGACGCGTGCCATAGGTTCGCCATCGCTGATCTATGAGTTCTAGATTTGGTTATGATAGCTATTCAGTTCCAACTATATTGAGCAAGACTGTAATCTGTATTTTGTAATAGTTTAAAACTATTCTTTGTCCTTTGTCAAATATGCTTACATTCTTATATACAGACTAGTCATGGTGTGCGGACTATATGAGCAAAAATTGTGCGATCACCACAAATTTGACTGTTCTTGCTCCAGAGTAAAAAATTTTAGCATGTTGTCCAGTGTGTCTGAACTAAAGCCTCACTAACCATTGACCCCAGGAGCCATTTTGGCTAAGAATTGACAAGCAGATGTTCTGCTCTTGAATGTAAGGGATCAAACTTTTCAACAATTTACACATAGCCCTAGGGTAGTGACTCTATAGTTCATCTCACTGCTACAGTTCACAATGAAAAAGCCTGTCATTTTTCTTCCAGCCCTGTTTTTCTGTTGGACGCAGAAAGAAGATTGTAAGGAGTAAACAGTTTGGCTATGCATTCCATTCTAACAGGCACATCACACAATTCCAAATAGTATTCCCACAAGAACCTTAGAGCAACAGTTCTTTCTTAGAACAGGTGCCAAGAAAGAAAGGATGGGTGGGGAGTGAATCTGATTTAGAAGTCCATTTCTATTTATGCCATGGGTTTAATTGCAAAATAGCAAAAGCTGAACACACACAACTGTGTTTTGACAAAAGTGTTGAGTGGCAAAATACATTTTTAAAATATTTAAAAAAACAGGTACTGAGTGCTTATATAAGCATTCTGTGGAAGATCTTCAGATAAAACTTGAATTCCCTCTTGCTTGTTTCAGATGAAAAGAACACATTTCATTTCGTTGCTATAATGAAGCTTTCTCTGTTGTCAGGACTGTTCCCTTTGTTTGTTTTTTAAAGTTGATACTTGTACAGTTTTCCAGATCAGAATAGATCTCAAAATTGAGAATTAGGACATCTAATGCACTTAAGTTACATGAGTAATTTTGTGTACTTAATGTTTATTCCTTGTGTGTCAATTCAGCTTTAAGTACCTATACAGTGGTGCCTCGCTAGACGGTTGCCCCGCTTTATGACGAAATCGCTTTACGATGGTTTTTTTGTGTTCATTTTACCCATTGCAAAATGATCGGTTCCAATGGGGCTTTTTCACACCACGATCACCCGCGCCAGCTTTAGAGCACTTAGGAGGCTTTTCCTGCACTAGTCCTCTGATGGTGCAGGAAAAGCCTCCAAAATGCTCTAAAGCAGGTGCGGGTGGTTTCGGGGCATCCCCACCAGGGTTCTGATGGCTTCCCCTGCACCATCAGAGCCGTGGCAGGGGTGCCACAAAACCACTGGCGCCCGCTTTAGAGCATTTTGGAGGCTTTTCCTGCACCATCAGAGGACTAGTGTGGGATCTCCAAAGCTGGTGATCGTGGGGAGGGGACCCCCTGTCAGTCCTCCCATGGGGTTTCCTCAGGTCCCTACCCCTTAAGTTCCTTTTTTAAAAAAAATTCCCCTAGGAACACATTAATTAATTTTCAGTGCATTCTTATGGGAAATTTGGTTTCGCAAGACAATGTTTTCGCAAGACAGCAATTTCTGTGGAACGGATTAACATCGTCTTGCGAGGCACCACGGTATTATTGTAATTCTTGAAGGCTTTCATGACTGGGATCCAATGGTTGTTGTAGGTTTTTTTAGACTGTTTGGCCGTGTTCTGGAAGTTTTTCTTCCTGACGTTTTGCCAGTTTCTGTGGCCAGCATCTTCAGAGGACAGGAGATAGACCTCTGTCTGTGTTCTGGTGTGTTCTGCTGTATTTTTCAGTGCTGGAAGCCAAGCTTTGATTAGACATAGTGATTACATGCCCTGAAACAAGCCGGACATGAAATCCTATTTCAAAACACAGAAGTACTGGACAACACCAGCAGTCATTGTGTTAAACTACACAAGGAAGCCATTGAAATCCTCAAACATCAGCACAGCTTCAACAAAGAAGAAGAAAGTCTAAAATTCAACAAAACCTGGCTCCCAGCACTGAAAAATACAGCCTGCAAAAAGGTCAATAAACTCTACCCAGCCACAAGGACCGGTGATCACTGCACACAAAAGACTGGCTAACAACACCCATCAATCATAGTGACAGATCATCTTCCCACTTATCACAACAATACACCTATAACAAAAACACCCTGATCACCATCGTCACACAATCTCCTGAAAAGGACAAAAAGCTGATCCCACAACTACAAATACTCAACTATCCCACACAATACACCAAAACACAGAGTTCTAACTCCTGTTCTCTGAAGATGCCGGCCACAGAGACTGGCAAAACATTGGGAAGAAGAACCTCCAGAACATGGCCAAGCAGCCCCAAAAAACTACAACAACAATCTGATCCCTACATTATTCTTCTAGAATGATTTTTTATAAAATACCTAAAGGAATGAAAACTTCTATGACTTGATATTTTTGTTTTTTCAAGATTTAGGAACATAGTATCAATTAAATAGTATCAAAATTCAGATTTACACAAAAAAGCAGAACTCAGCTTAACAAAATATTAGTAATTCCTAGTGAGAATTCTATCCTCTGTAGTCTTACAGGCATCTCTGAGGGAAGAGAAGAAACTTCGTGTTGAAAATGCTAAACTGAAGAAGGAAATTGAGGTGCTGAAGCAGGAACTGATCCAGGCAGAAATCCGGAATGGAGGTAATTGAATTCATGCTGGTCGAGCGGTCTTCTCTCATGTATGCAAAACTCCTCGTTTCAGTATTTAGTAACTCTTGTTACTAAATGAACAGGCAAATTGCAGTTTGAGTGGGTTGCCTACACAAACAAACTATGAAAAGCAAAGAGAAAGAGCAGGAGTGACAAGTACTTATTGGGAGCACTTGCCACCCATCTTCTGTTAACTTGTGCTTTTGAGCATTTTATTCCGTTGTATTGCACAATTAGCCACAATAAACACATGAACACTAAGTATCATGTTTCCCCGAAAATAAGACAGGGTCTTATATTAATTTTTGCTCCAAAAATGCATTAGGGCTTATTTTCAGGGGATGTTTTATTTTGTAGTCATGTCATCTTCTGGTTGCTGCACAGTGCTGCACAATGATGGAGGGCGGGATTTCGCTTAACTCTGGTTTATTTTTTTGGGTAGGGCTTATATTACGAGCATCTTGAAAAATCATACTAGGGCTTATTTTCAGGTTAGGTCTTATTTTCGGGGAAACAGGGTAGTAAGGCGTCAATTTTAAACAATACTCTTCCTTTACAGAAATCAAATTTGATCTAGATATTGTATGTTGTATATTTGTAAAGCAGAATGAATCATATAAACCTTTGGTTACTTCAGTTAGTTTGAAACATTCAGTATTTGGAAACATCCTTAATGCACCTACAATAAATGTGTTGAGAAATAATTTTCACATTCTCTAAGCTAGGTCTTTGGCTTTAAAAAATCATTCAGCGGAGTCTTTGAACCCCACTCCTATAGGCAGTTGATGTTTCATCCTGCATCCTTGAACATCACTTTGCTTGCCTGGGAAATTAGAGCAATGGCCCTATAGTTACTGATCTCCTTGGCACCTCTTTTCTTGGGGATGAATGAATACTTTATTATGGTCAAAGACCAGTAAAACCAAATCAATATAAAATAGATACATATAGTTTTGTAAAGTCAGTGAAGGTAGTAAAATTCCATTAAAACGTGATAAAACAGCCCCTTTTTTCCAGTTAATAACATATATCCTTAATATAAGTAAAACCTCAGCCAGTGTTATATTAAAAACATTATATTATCCATCTAAAATCACCTGTCCAAACATGTGATTACGAATAACCATTGCTGCAGCACAGAATTTGGCCACTTATCTCGTAATATAAGGGGTATTGTTAGAGATTAGCAACTGGACATAATCCTCCTCTTATCTCCCAGGAGATTTACAGATAATAGGTGATAAAAGTTCCATACGAAGATGCCGATAGCAAGTACAGAAAAAGAGAACATGACCAACTGATTTTTTTTCTTGGGGATTGGAATGTATATAGAGCATTTCCAATATGTTTTGTGTTCCATATTTGTTAGCATTTATTGTTAGGATTTTTACAGATTTAGTCTCTGTGGCTTCAAATAGATCTATCAGTACAGTATCCCATCTACCCGTGGTGATAGATCAGCTTTCAGAACAGCTTTCACTTCACTTTCTAGAAATGCAGGTTCTTCATGATAGAATTCCTCTTCAAAGGTGACTGTCATATTTTAATCTCATTTTATATCTCCTGTATAGGTCTTCATTATATTGGTTCCACCTTCTCTCTATTTTCTCCTGGTTAAATAGATCTGAATAATGGTTATGTTGATAGAGTTTCCTTGGAGTCTGATTGATATTATTCAATTAGACCTTCCATTATTTATTTATTTATTTATTTGATTTATATCCCGCCCATCTAGTATAATTATACCACTCTGAGCGGCCCTAGGTGCCCGTGCAGTATCATATTTCAGTATTAGAGCATTTCTTTTGATTTGGTCATTTCCAGAGTAGAACACTTCGTAGTTGTCTGACTGAAAATGTTCCAGTCCAGTCCATGGTAGTTCAGTGACACGAAGCACTGCAATGTTTATACATTCCTTTTCCTGCTTTACTGTTTCCAGTTTACCTTGATTCATAATTCTCACATTTCTTGTTCCAGTTCTATGTATTATACAGCTTTGGATGTTCCTTTTACTTCTGTGCACACCAACCACTAGACATCCTTTCAGTTTTAATCTAGTTGTACCTAGACTAGTATATAGGCATGTCTAATTATTTCCCCTTTATGTATTTTGCCTGAATGAGCTGCAGTGGGATTGCCAGCCTGAGCTTTGTGTCCCCTCTCTTGCATCACTGTCACTAGATTTGACATATTAGAGAGTGAACTTCTGAAGTGGGGAGACTTTTCCATTCACATGGGTATCATTTCAGTTTGGTACCTTTAAATTACATGGATGTGGTCAATGTCTGTATAGGAAACCATGTAGAAATCTGATGTATGCTGTCTTAATTTTAATGATGGAAGAAATGCAGTGTGTAAATTTACTAAGATTAGGTAGAGAAAAACTGCCTAAAACTGGTTTGTCTAGACATAGGAGATTGACTGTGGATCAGTCCAAATGTTTCTGAGAATATTAAAATAACAATGTCATAAAGTCTGTACATCTTTTGTGTTTGGCATACAACAACTGAAAACTTTTCGGAATAATAACTTTAGTCTGCTGAGGTCCTGCTTTTTCTACATATATGACTATGATTCAGCTATATTTATTCATTTTAATTTCACTGGTTTAAAAAATATAGCTAAACTTCAAACTCAAACAGATACTTGGAAGCAACTCTCATTTCATTTGGTTTGGCATGCTTTGGATTAATCAATGTCATGGCTAGGCTATAATAACAGTTACTTTTTTGTTGGTGTCTGCTTCCTAATTGCCTTTTAATTCTCATGATGCCCATCAACAAAACCAATAGGGTCAAATTTTATGGTTTATACCTAGTATGTGTCATTGCAAAGATAGAAAGTTGACAATCCTGTCTCCTTTCTAGGAAGAGGCACATGTCCTAAAAAGCACCAAACCTGCTCCACAACGTTGGCAGCAACTTTGAAGCAGGTTTGAAGCATGAGAGGCTTTAGGGAAGAGGACAAGGGGTCACAAATCCCAGTGATACTATCAGTGTTGGATTTCTACCAACAACTGTAAGTGAGCACATATCTGGAAACTCTCCCCACCCATTTTCATTCAGCATTCACTGTAAGTTGATCTTTATATCAGCATACATTTCACAAAATACTTACATTGGCAGAACTAGGATTTTAGGTTAGTTAAATACTTGCAGAAATTTGTATTTAATTTAATTCGAACCTTGAATATTAGCACACTAGATATGTGCCACCAAGTCATTTCTGCCTTGTGGCAACTCTATGTACCCAAAAGTTTCTACAGTTAACAGCCCCGCTGAAATCTTACTCTTTTTAACTTTAGTGAAACAAATCTCAGTACCACCCAGTGAAATACCTTCTACAGCAGCAATTTCAGAAGGCTTCTCTCAGACAGGACCAGCTGCAGTAATGCCATCTGGTCCTAAGGACCAGCCTAAAGGAGCAAGTGAAGAAAAGAAGAAAGACAAAACAGAAAAGAAAGGTAATTCTACCAAGTTTATGTGGAAATTTTCACTGTACAATTCCATGAACACTGGGGAAATTCTGATTTTAAAAAAATTGGTTAACCAGCACTGACCAATAGACAAGCATTTTAGGAAAACTCTTCTGGGTTTTCTTGAGACATATAGAAAAAATTAATACAAACGGCATCCAGGTTTTTGTTGAACCCTTCCAGAGTTGCTAGATTTTATTTCTGCTTGAATCTATATGTTGAATGGTTAATGCATATATTTATTAAATCTGGCTGGTACAAATGTGTTAAATAGTGATGAAATTCTCTTCTGTAGTTTGTTGAAATATACTGAGGGAAAAATTACTCTGAATCCCAAAATCTTTATTTTTCTAATGAGACTCTTCATATTTTTCTCCATGGCAACTTTAATAATACTTGCAATTTGCCAGAGCCGATAGGAACTTTAGGCTAAAACATCATGAGGACTATAATTATTCACTCCTGTTTTGGACCGAAACAGGGTCATATGGTCCAATGCTGAGCCTTCTGTTTGTGACCTCTATGAAGATGGGAAAAGTCTGCAAATGAACTATAATTATGTGGTTACAGAGCTCCATCCATTGCTGATTTGGCAGGGTTGTTAAATGTGTGAAGATTTGTAATAATCCTTCTGGTAATGGTCCATCCCTCTACCAATACTTCTTTTTTTTCAGTGGGCATCCTCAGAGTTCTGTGGATACATCTACACTACACACTTGTAACAGTTTGGTACCACTTTCATCAAATATAGATCCCAGGATTCCATAGGATAGAGCCATGGCAATTAAAGTGAAATCAGTGTAGAAACACTCTTAACGGTCAACATTTAATAGCTGACAATATATCCATTTGGGAATTTGATTTTAGTTTGATTTTAATTCACACATGGCTCTATCTTTCACAGTCCTTTTTTATACAGAAACTATTTTTACTTTTCAATTTTTACTTTCCCAAATTTGTTTCCAGAATTCTCTTTTGTTGTTGTAATAGGAAATAATGCTATGATTCTAGCATTGAAGAAGCCTGTTGATGCAAAATTCAGTGTCCAATTTAAAATCATAGAAAGTGTTAAAAACATATTATAGGCTTCTTTTATACTGAAAAAACCAAAAACTTTATGAGCGTGCTTCATTTACATTTCACACTGTATCTGTAGATGTGTAATCAAATAATTTCTAATATTTTCAGCAGGACAAAAGAAGGAGAAAAAGCAGCAGATAGCTGCAAATGATGACTCAAAGCCTTTAGATGTTTCCCGGCTTGATCTTCGTATTGGCTGTATCATAACAGCAAAGAAACACCCAGATGCTGATACTCTGTATGTGGAAGAGGTTGATGTTGGAGAAGCAAATCCTAGAACTGTTGTCAGTGGTCTAGTGAAGCATGTTCCTTTAGAAGAGGTACAGATGGAATTTCCTGCATATACCATTTGACTGAACAAATTAGATTTTTATTTGATTTTACTATAGCTCAGTATTTCTTCCTGCCATTCACAGTGTATACTGCATGCATAACAAATAATCTCAACATCCCGGTTTTATTTCTTAGAGAACAAATTGAAACATATTGAATAAATCAAGCTCACTCCAGAAGTTTGCTTTTATTTGAAAAATTAAATAAAACAATTTAAAAAAATAAAACAAATTTTCTATATGTAAAAACTCATTCATTACTTTTCCCTTTCCATACACTTATCAGTACTATGTTGTAATATATTAGATAAAGTCCTGATGCTTAATCAACTAAATTGCACTAGAGTTTGCCCATTGAATAAATGGGGATATGGAGAATCAACTCCTCTGTAAGTTACATTGATTGAAATGGGCCTATTTTATTTGTGACTTGCAACCCTAAAGTAAATCATAACTAGAGTAAGCCCCTTTAAATCAGTAGAAGAGTTTCATTTATTCACTGGACCTACTATAGGATTTGGTGCCATTACATTTATTAACTAATTTTTATGCCATCTACCAAAACATTCATTAGTTGAGATCAGTTGATCTACCTGTCAGTCTGTCTGTTACATTTTTATATTGTCTTTCCTCCAAGGAGCTTCCTTCTCTCCCCCCACCCCCATTTTATCTTCACAACATGCCTGTAAGGTAGGTTAGTTTGAGAAAGTGAAAGTGCCCCAAGGTCACACACTGAGCTTCACAACTGAGTAAGGATGTGAAACTAGATATCGTCTCTTCTAGTCTTATAGTCTAATCAACATGTAAGACTATCTCTGCCGCAGTTCATGGGATTCTACTTTGTTATTGTTATGTGCTGTCAAGTCGGATCTGACTTAAAGCAACCCTAAGAGAATTTTCAAGGTAAGCGAGATATTGAAGGAGTGGTTTTACCAGTTCCACTCCCCCAGTGGGTTTCCATGGCAGAGCGGGGATTTAGACCAAGACCTCTTGAGTTCTACTCTGTCATTTTATCCTCTGCTCCACGCCAGGTACTTTTGGCACACACAAAGGCTTGTACCTAGTCGAATTTTCAGCCCCCCTCCTTTTAAGTGGTATTTTCTCCCACCGCCCTGTTACACATTTCTACACTTCTGTGAAGGTATTGGTTCTCAGTAAACCCAAGCACCAACTTCTCCCAGTTATGCATAATTAAGGTATTTGGATCTACGATCCAAATCGTACACTACAGTCGTACACACTTGTATTCATGGTGGTACAGTACACAGTCTGCATAAGATCCTGCTGTTAAATTTTTTTCTCTCCAAACAGAGAAGTTTTATAATGCTAGCTCTGTGTCTGTGTATTTTGGCAGTTTTATTATTCTAGCAATTGGATAAATATATGACAGGCCTGATATAGTTTAAAGAATCTGTTGTATTGTGCTTTGTTTGTTAGATAAAATATAGTGGAGCTTTCACAATCCATGCAGCTTGCAGGACACCCACGCTATCTGGAGTCATATTGAGGGAAGTGTCTTTCCTGGCTGAAAATACTGCAATAAGTTAGGTTCCAAGTGTTAAGCAACTCCTATCCAAAATCATACTTGAGGAAGGGGGAAGGAGACATTTCTGCTTAGGATTCTGTGTTTTCTGTTTTCTTTTTCTTGTGATGTTCCAGAAGAGGAAATATCCCTTCTTTACTTTATAGCAAGTTTCCACAGGAAACCAACAGTAGTTTTTACAGCACAATTAGAGTCATGGGCTACTTTTAAGGCGAACAGAATACTATAAAATGGAATTATTTTACAAAGGAAATTCATCCTATAATAAATTACAATAGATTTAATATTATATTATAGTATGAAACATGATAGCCTAAAGTTGCCACACAATTCTTTTTTAACTTTAATTGGTTACAAATGGAGCTGCTTTGAAGATATCAAATTAGTGGTTTATTAAAATAACTGAAGTTCTTCACTTTCAGTAATTTTAAGGAAGATGTTCTATAACTACACTTAGGAATAAACTGTGGTTTCCTTTTATTTCTGTGTGGCAAAAAAATATTAATCAAAAACTGTTCTTTTCATACTCCTTAAAATGAAAGGATACTTGGGTTGGGATGTCTGATCAGTTTTAGAACTTCAAAAACCTGATTCTGTTAGATAGTATGAATTTCTGTTTCCAAAATATGTAAATCATTTCCTCAAACAAAACGTAATTGCGGTCTTCCTTGGCATCTTATTCTGGTATTTGTGGTATTCTTACTTAGGTGTGGGAGGGGAAAAACCAGAAGTATTTATGGATTTAATTGAATGAGTTACAATGCACTTTAGGTGCAACTATTTTTAATTTACTTTGTTTCAAGTATTCGTCCTGTCTTTGGCATTTGGTATCCGTAAGTGTATGTAGTGTAATTGCATCCTGAACAAGTAATTCTTTTGCTTTCTCCTGATTAATTTAGAAGGGTATGTTTAGCAGAATTCCTACTGTAATGGTTAAAATTTAAAACCCAGGGCTACAAAGAACGGAAAGCCAGTAAAATCATACTTTCAGTCATTATTTCACCCTGTCAGAATAAAATGTCAATGTCTTTATTGCACCATATTGTGTCTGTGTATTTGAAAAAGGGAGGTGTTTTCCTGAATTGGCTATTTCCCAACCTGTACTGTTCAATTAGTCCTGAAAGTGTGTTAATTGTTAGTAGCATGTTGATATTTTCATTTTTTCTCTCTCTCTGTATAGGATGCATTAAAATTGTCTTGCTTCCACATTGTGAAAGAAACTCAGAAAAGCCTAACTAAATTCTATTTGAATCAAACTTATGTGCTTATCTCCAGATGCAAAAACGGATGGCAGTATTTCTCTGTAACCTGAAGCCGGTGAAAATGAGAGGAGTGGTATCTCAGGCCATGCTGATGTGTGCTAGCACACCAGAGAAGGTGGAAATTCTAATTCCTCCTAGTGGGGTTGTTCCTGGAGACAGAATCACATGTGGAGGCTTTACTGGTAAGCAAAACTTCAAAGTTGCTAAGATACAAGAGGAAATTGATCAGAACACTAGTCTCATATTTAAATTTTCTGCACTAATTCAGATAAAAGTTAAAACAGAGCAAACATGACTTGCTTTTTAGGTCAGTTAATAAACTGACTTTTGGAGGGGGATTTTCTTTTTTAGAAACATTTTTATTTGAGTTGATTCAACAAACGATTGTGAATATTGCTTAAATAAACCTGTGATTTAGAAACAAAAATACCTATCAGATGGTATACATGCTACAAGAAAAATTAAAGGCTTAATAGCTGTTTTATAATCAATTATATAATCAATTTTAATTGTTTGGACTGTAGGAGTTTCTTATACAGTAGTGAAGAGAAGAGTAAAAAATGCATAATACCAATATTATCAAGCTATATTTTTTCTCCTGTTGATTTCATTATGGAGCATTTTAAACTATATCGCTAGCCACTTTTGGTACCAGTTTTGGGAGAAGGGTGACATACATACATACATACATACATACATACATACATACATACATACATACATACATACATACATACATACATACATACATACATACATACATACATACATGTTGTCTAGTATGCATATGTTGTTGTGTTCGACTCTTCTTGACCCCATGGACCAGAGCACACGAGGCCCGCATGTCTTCCACTACCCCCTGGAGCTTGGTCAAATTCATGTTGGTAGCTTCGATGACACTGTCCAACCATCTTGTCCTCTGTCATCGCCTTCTCCTCTTGCCTTCACTCTTTCCCAACATCAGGGTCTTTCTGTTTACAACTTTTTTTTTTTTTGCAGCACATAAAAATTTGTGGTAGGGTCATTACAGGAGAAATGGGCAGTGCCTGCAAGACGACATGAGCAAAGCTTATCACTTTGTGTTAGGAATGTATAATACATGACATTTGCATCCCTATGAAAGTAAGAGGGTAATTGTACAATAATATGTCCTTGGCTTTTTGGACTGTTTAATATATATGCATACTAGTAAAGGTCTAAAGATCTGCATAAACAAAACATTTTGTTTACATGTTCATTTGATATCTCCCCGAAAGAAACCGCTTGAGATAGCGTTTTGTGCTATACTGATTGCACAGTGTATTTGTGAAGGCTTTCACGGCCGGGATCTAATGGTTGTTGTGGGTTTTTTGGGCTCTTTGGCTGTGTTCTAAAGGTTGTTCTTCCTAACGTTTCACCAGTCTCTGTGGCTGGCATCTTCAGAGGACAGCTATTGCAGTAGTTGATCCGGGAGATGATCAAAGCCTACACCAAAGTCCTGAGGGAGCCCTCGTCTAGGTAGGAGCGAAGTTGGGCAGTTAGCCCAAGCTAGTTGAAGGCTGATCTGGACATGGTTGCAATCTGGGACTCCCAAGAGAGATCTGGGTCTGGAAGAACACCCACGTTATGTACTTGGTCTCTAAACTGGAGGGGAGTACCATCCAGCCCAGGGACCATCCCTCCATACCATTTGGAGGCCCCAACCTGGACCTCCAATAAAATTTCCATTTTGTCCAGGTTCAGTTTGAGCCTGTTAGCAATGGTTCATTCCAGTACTGCAACCAGGCAACACTTCAGCATCCAGATGGCATCCACTGCAGAAGTGGTAACGGAGAGATAAGAGTTGTGTGTCATAAGCATATTGCTAACACCTTACTCCAGAACTCCTGATGACCTTCCCCAGTGGCTTAACATAGCTATTAAACAGCATTGGGGATAGTGTCAATCCCTGAGGAACCCCACACCAAAGGGTCCAAGGTGCCAACACCTCCTCCCCTAGCTGAACTCTCTGGACATGGTTCTTGAGGAAGGATCGGAGCCAGCTCAATGCTAAGCCCCCAATCCCAACCTCAGAGAGCCTGTCCAAGAGGATACCATGGTTGACAGTATCAAAAACCACTGAGAGATCTAGGAGTACCAACAGGGTGCAACTGCCCCTGTCAGGTTCCCTTAAAAGGTCATCCTGCAGTGCGACCAATGTCATCTCAGTACCCCATCGCGGCCTGAATCCAGACTAGAATGAATCAAGGCAATCCTGCTCCTCCAGCTATGCTTGCAGCTGATTGGCCACCACCCTCAATCATTTTGCCCAGGAATGGTATGTTAGAGATTGGACAGAAATTAAGATTATCTGACGCTATCTGCAGGCATTTCCTGATGAGTCAGACTGGTTTCTTTTGAATTAATAATGTTCACAGCCCAATCAATCAAGCCCCCTTATTGGCCCTGATCAGCCACGCTGGGCAAGGATTCAGTAAGGAGGCAGTGGGCCTACAGCTAGCCATCACCCTGGAGGCTTCCTCCTTCACTACAGGGTCAAACTGAACCAACATGCCAATAGGAGATGAGGCAGCAATGGTCACCCCGAGATCAGCTAAAGTTCTGATAGAGTCACAGTTGGCACGAATGGCCTCAATTTTTGTTCTGAAAAAGGCTGCAAACTGATCGCTGGTGAACTCAAAATGAGGCCTTGAATGGTCAGAACTGGCAAGGTCGCGGACTACCTGGAACAATTGTCCTTGTTGGTTCACAGACTCACCAATCCTCTGGATATTAAAAGTCTTTCTTGCCTACTGTATGTAAGGGTATTCGCATATTTATTGGCCATAGTTTTGACTGCAGCCCTATTTTGTGCCGACTGGTCTCTTCTCTACCTGCTCTCTAGCCTTCTGCTTGATAACTTCATAACCCCGCAGCCCCTCAGTATACCAAGGAGGAGTACGAGCTCTGGAGTGGAGAGGGTGTTTGGGGGCGATCATGTCAGCCGCCTGAATTGACTCCAGATACGATCTATTGGTATCCTGGGCTTCAACAGGTTGGCCGGAAGCCTTCCCAGAGCCTCTTGGAACCATTTCGGGGCAAAAATCCTGCAGGGCCAGATCATTTTCACGGGTCTGTTTTCCCCGCAGAGGGGGATCACAATAGAAAGCTTGACTCTCAGTAGGAAGCCCATGATAGAGGGCAGGAGTTCACAATGCCTACCCTCAGATCACTATCCACCTTTGCAGTCAAGAACACCAGGTCTAGAGTGTAGCCAGCTGAATGTGTAGCGCAGATGACATGTTGAGATAGGTTCATGGCTCTCATGGCACCCATGAACTCCAGGGCCGGGCCAGATAGTTCCAGTTTGGCATAGCTGTTGAAGTCCCTAACTATCAATCAATAGTCTGGCTGACCAACATCGCAGCCAAAATGAAGTTGACCAGCGCTGGCAGGATACTGCTGGGTCACAGGGAAAACAGTACACCAGCACCCCTCCAAAGCTATCCCTATGCCCCACAGTCAGGTGCAAACACTCTTGGCTCAGACTCAAAAGAGGCGGTCCTGCTGGCATGTATAGAATCTCTGTAGACTATTACGGCCCTTCTCCCCCTCCCCTTTAATCTGACTTGATTGAGAGAGGGACACCCAGATCGCCCACCCAGGTCTCCTTGATACATGCCAGGTCTGCGTTCTCTTCCTCTATGAGATCCTGGATCAGATGGACTCTTATTATTAACAGACCTGGCCTTAATAAGCAGGAGGGCCAGGCAGGAGGCACAGCCAAGCACATGACAGGCACCAGTTGCCTGGCACATGGTCTCCTGCTTGGGGAATTCTTGAAGAATTCTGATAGTTGAAGCTCTATCCTTCAAAAGAAAAGAAAAGGAATGGCACACCCCTATTGTGGACAGCACTGATTGTGCTTTCTATTTCTAATTGATCAGAGCAGAAAGGGAAAATGGGGAAGTGGGTCATAGAGGAAGAGAGGAACCATGTCAAGAAATGATAGCTCTCTTCCTCAAATCTGTGGCTGTTTCTCCTGTGGGACCACAAAGGATGCATTACCGATCTTTTAAATATTTTAAACAATATTTTCTACTGTGCACCTATAGTGCTGTGCAGTTGCAAAGAATTAGTTTAACAGAAAAGAAATGGACAACATCATGCTTTGTTATCTGACATAATAGGTATAATGAAATCCAGTGAGAATAGTAAGAAAGGAGAAGTAAAATAAATAAATAAAAGGTTTTCATTATTCACAGCTGCAGAACCTTGTAAGTACACACTGGCAAATGTGCAGTACTGCCACTAGAGGACAAACCTCTATTTCTTCCCCTCAGCCACTGCTGCTCCTCCCTGGTGAAAGGTGAAGCTAGAAAGAATTGAACTGAATTGATACTGAAGGGTGAAGCCACTCCCAACAGGAAAAATCACACTACTGTACAGTACAGGTTTGGAAACTTGACAATTTATACTGCTCTGGAACTTCAAGAAACAAAAGCTTTGTTCGTAGTCTAAAGAAACATGGGCTACAAGGACAAAAATAAAATGAGAAGGAAAATTCAGAATATTATGTGCTTTATGAAGGAGCCAGGTGTAGATTGGACCATTGTGTATGTGTACACTCTCTGTACATAAAATTTGTAAAGTACACTTTACCAAAATGCACCATAGCAAATAGCAAACAGTGGTTTTTTAGATGAAGCTCTTATATCTTTGCTGAATGGCAGTCCAAGGTGCATCTTGTCCTGTACCATGTCTTCCTAGAGTATTTGCTAATTTGAAAATAAAAATAAAAACGCAGTGTCCTTTTGGTTTTTAAATGTGTTAGAATTATGTTTGGTCCATATGATTACCGTGTCTTGGGTCTTTTCCCATCAAGCAGTTAAGATTTCCTTTTGGAAATCTAACCACATTTAGTTGAGGAACTGCCTTTTATTGAAGGATAATGGCTGTAAGCCAATTAGCTTTGGTGCAAAGTTTATGTAATTTACCACAGCTAATTGTAGGCCATTAGTAAAGCAAATTGCAGAAACACTCATTTGATGTAATCACACTTCCAAAAAACTTTTAATAGTTTTGTGCTAAAGCTGCTGATCGATGAGTTTCTGTTAGGATGATTATGGTCCTGTTATAATTATATCCTCATAGTGGCCTTAGTATGATTGTAGATTTATTTTTGTAAACCAGATTTGATTATGTCTGATTTATAAATAGCATC